TCTCTCTCGTCCGTGTCCTCGATCTCACCCTTTGCCATCGACCTTTGCCCTTGCCCTTTGTTCTGGCCCTTTGCTCTCGCCCTTTGTCTTCGCACTTTGCCCTCGCTCTTTGCATTCACCTTTGCTCTCGCCCTTTGCCCTCGCTCTTTGCCCTCGCTCTTTGCCCTCGCTCTTTGCCCTCGCTCTTTGCCCTCGCTCTTTGCTCTCGCCCTTTGCCCTCGCCCTTTTGCCCCCGCCTTTTGTCCTCGCCCTTTGCCCTCGCTCTTTGCCTTCGACCTCTCCCTCGGCCTCCCTCTCGCTCTTGCCTTCGCTTTCTGCTCTCGATCTTGTCCTTTGCTGTCGCCCTGCCCTTCCCTCAATATTTGCTCTCGGCCTCCTCTCTCGTATTCGCCCTCGCTCCTCTTTCTCTCCCGTTGCCCTCGCTCTTTGACTCGTAAATCGTAGAAATTAATACCATTTGTCGGGTTTTATGTGATGAAGAAAGTACATTTCAAATTTAGAAACAGATTTTTATGGAGAAAAATAAAAAGTGACGAGTGAAAACGTTGCGTTTTGTAATGGACCTCCTAATTTCTTGCCCGTCCGCATCGACGGCCCAGGAGTTCAGCTCCCATCGTTCTCTCACTGGTGTGGACATCAACTGACGTCACTGCGGTGACTCTGACCTGGAGGTCCTAGGTTCGAGTCCCGACGGTGGCAGAGTTTTCGTCACTAGCTCCTCAGCTAGGTCGAGTGCAGTCGCTGCCTGGAGGAGAATTCTAGCGGCCGGCTGTTCTGATCGGTAGTTTTCCGTGGTTTGTTTGATCAATACTAGGCAAAAGCCAGAGCAGTGTCCTAACAAACGAGCAACGAACCGCGCGTTATCTTTCCTTCCTATTCTTCGTCCTATCCCTACCCTTTACTTTCACACGCTTACATGCACTACATTACCACACGTGTCAGGAGCTTAGAGCTTTTCTCGGCTGCGACGTCTAATGGGAGATACCTGGTTGTGGAAAATTAGCCGACGGTAGATCAACGCCGGATCTCACAATCCATCACAAGATCACGGCCACCTCCTGAGCGGAAAACGTGCATCACACTTCTGGGGCTAATGATCTTAGCAGTTAACGCCCCCGATATCATAAATCAATCTGTCAATTCACACTTCACTATCAGGATGATTCGGATGCGGAAATTCCACTCTCGTTCCATTTTCTCTTCGGTCTGCGTGAGTTGCATTTTTCTGTAGGTTTTGAATCTGTCACAATCCTGATTAGTCTTTTGCTGTCCGATCTGAAATCGTGCCCATTTCATTCTTGTTCTTACAAATTTTACTACGTCTGTAATGTCATATTTATTTCTTATATCTTGGTTTTTCAATCTATCCCATCTTGTTACATCGAATGGTCTCAATGTTCTCATCTCTGATGTTCTAAATATAGTATTAGTCCTTCTATTGTCGTCCCTTGTTTCTGCTCTATATGATATTACTGATCTTACCATAGTTTTGTAAATGTTTACTTTGCTTTCAACATAAAGAAATTTGTATCATAAATCAATCGATCAAACCCACTTCCTTTCACACAACAGTCGATCAAACCCACAGGTCTGCATTTGTGCGCCGGGTCAGCGGTTGTCTGCGGGCAACCTGTGCCTGCCGCTGCTTGTGTAGGGAAGGGGAGGGGCTGTAGCCTAGCGAATGACAAGTGGCACTGCAGCGCTCCTGCAGGAGCGGTTTGGCCTGAAACCTTGCATTGGAGCAGTCCTCTTTCTACCAGACCATCATCCATCCACTGCAAGGCGACGACAAACTACCTGTCGTCACCTGTCCAGGAAATGGAAGACCACAAAGGTCGCTTACCTTTGGTCGGTTGCCGTCACTGAAATCATTTCATTCACAACTGGAAAGCCATAAAACACTTTCTTCGCGTCAGATATAGCGCAGCAGTGTTGAAAGTACCATATGCGCGGAGGATATGGAGGATTGAAGGTTACAACAACAACAACAATAATAATAATAATAATAATAATAATAATAATAATAATAATAATAGTAATAGTAATAATAATAAAAATTGTAATAATATTAGTAATAATAGTAGTAATAATAGTAATAATAATAATAATAATAATAATAATAATAATAATAATAGTAATAATAGTAATAATAGTAATAATAATAAATTGCCTTTATGTGTGGCGTGACTCAGGCCATCCCTGCATCGGTTGTTCCACCTAATATAATGAATTTACATTTACAAAAATTATAGTTGAGACGTTCAGACGTACGTAATATTAACTTAAATTTCATGTTACCGAAGAAATTTCAATTTCAGTACATACATTCAGTACTTCATAAAATTATCTGTAACATGAAATTATCTATAATCGGTCATTTCGCAGTTGAAAACCCGTTGGGTGACTTTTGTTGCTACCAACAGGGAGCAATCGTTCGAGACGATGCGTGTGAGGTGGGCGAAGGGGGTGAGGTGGGGTGGCGCTTCTCTGGAGGCGCCCGAAATACAGCACCGGTGTGGCGCATGCGCAGCCGCCGGCGAAGCGAAGGCCCCGCTCGCGAGGCGCTGCACAATGGGAGAAAAGGCCGAAAAGCTGGCCAAAAAACCATACGCGATTTTTTAGTGTATCTGGAGTGATCATCCGTTAAGGTTTTGCATTTTTGTCTCGGTAAAGTTGCAGTCAATCAGTGTCTTTTATCTTATCGTCCACAGTCTTGGCGCCGTTAGAAACCGCGGTTCCAGGACGGTAACCCATCCAGGGGTTCGTGGGATCTCGAGTTGTTTAACTTTCGTGACTTCACGGAGTGTACTTAAGAAAGTCGGTTAACGACGCCGGCGAGAAATTTCTACATCTGTATTTGTGACTACACCATTTAAAAGAGGTGAAAACTTGGTAATGAACGTTGTTAATTTCGGAACTATGAATTTACTGTCTGCGTTTTTACATGGTTTCAAAGCTACCTATAATTCATTTCCCTTGGATGTGATCTGGAAGGCTGTTTTGCAAACTTATCGCGCATAACTTCTGTCTCTGAGCATATAATTGGAATTGGAATTTTTTTTATTATTCTTATACGTGTAATCCGTCAGGCTAGTAATTGCCACTTCATTTGTTTGATTAGGTCATGAGTAATTTCTATTTAAAAATATATATTTTTTTCTTTTAAAAATTTTAAATAAATTATAAATTAATTTTGTGTGTATTATTGCCTCTACTATTTTCATTTTTTAAAAACTTTTTCGAATTTGGCTTCAGATTCGTATTTACCGACCCACCAAAACCTTTGACAATATATTGTTTTATAAGCGTTTGGCACCATGTTAGAATTTGGAAACTTTTGTTTTTTTCAAAATGTGCGCATCGCTCCCCGTCCCCTCCACATTCTACCCCACCTGCACCCCACTCTGTTCCGACACCCTCCTCTCTTTTAATTCCCACTCATTTAACGACATTTCCTCATCTCGTTGCAATCTCCACAATTCTCTTTGTGTATAGATTGTTTATGCTTTTTTATTCTTTTCCGCGATACTGTTTTCATTTACATTCTATAACACAAGTGCCACAAACACGGATGGACCACATTATGGTGGACCACATTATGATGGACCACATTATGGACCACATTATGGCTAAATCACCATAAATTATGACATTTTGTAGATACTGCCATAGTCTTTCGAGTGAATTGTTTATTAGTTGATTAACTAGTGGTGTCTCAAGAAAATCAAGCATTGACAAGAAATAACACTAAAATGGTAGGTTTTGGTTTTTACTTAAATATTGTTGAGCATATGTGCTACGAAAGTTATGAGGACAAACGCCGCGCCGGTTCTATACTTCGATCAAAATTATTAGATCAAAATTAAACACTTAACTAGAACAAAAAATTATAAGTGAATGTTAGGTGACATTCCAAAACGAACATTTTGCGAATAAAGCAGCAAATTTGCGTCACGTCCTTGAGGCAGAGCAAAAATTCCGACAAGGGTCGTTGAGTAGAGTAGGTTGATAGGTGTACCGCAGGGTGGCGAAGGGGGGCACTGAGATAAAGGACGGCGCCTGAGCGAATTCTGCTCTCCTGGCACTTGAGTAGCTGAGCAGGAAGTTGCTGCGCGCCGGTCGATAGCCTGAGGCACCTCAAATAGCCCCCGCCCCCGTCCCGCCGCCGCCCCACCCCGCCGCCTGTCAAATGGGCGCCCTCCCACGGGAGCACGGGAGTTGCTCTGTGCCAGAGCTTCTCAGTCTTGTTGAAGTTGTTCCCTCACACATGACGAAGTTTAGTTTGAAAGTTCCCTAAACGACGAGTTTTAAATATGAAATTTTGATTAATTTTTTAAAATTACGTGGTAAATAATTACCAGAATGAGAAAGAAAGGTCTAACTTCATTATTTAAATAGTTCGTTTCTTCTTCAAACTTTCCCATGGAAAACACTCACTCCATCATTTTTTTTTAACTTCTGTTCTATTCCATTTATATTTAGTAAATAAATATAAAAACAATGTGCTCGTCACAATCACTAAGAGACAAAAACAACAACTATCTTTACTCTCTCTCTTTCTTCCCCTACCCCTCTCTCTCCCTACCTATCTCTCTCCCTGTCTTAATCTTACACCTTAGACTTTGCCCCCTTGTCCTTCTCGATCACATTATGCCATTACATTCCTTCTTGTTAGAACATCCCTATGACACATATAGGAGTTTTCATAAGAGTCCCACAAATTCCTCATTTGACCCGTTTACGTGTGCTTTGCTTCGACTTTTATGTAAGGCATTTTCTCAGTACTGTTTCTTTATATCTGAGACTTTAAAAAATAGCTGAGAAATTCACATAATGAGTAAACCGGAGTATCGATAAAATGAACAACAATCTAGCCTTTTTAGCAGGTACTAAATAAAAAAAGCCACCAGAATCCAGAGTTTTCCCACTTGGTACTTGAATAGAGTGACGTGTTCGGTGTTGGTTGGCTGCCATCTGAACGGCGTGCTTTGTTTTGCAGAGCTCGGGAGGCGAGAGATGGCGTCCCATGGCGATCTCGAACCCGTCGACCCGGCTCCGCGCCGCCCGGGCCATGCCCCAGTGGCAGGTGAGCACACCCGTCCCCTATGCCCTAGTGGCACGTGAGCACACCCCTCTCCCATGCCCTAGTGGCACGTGAACACACCCCTCCCCTATGCCCCAGTGGCAGGTGAGCACACCCCTCCCCTATGCCCCAGTGGCAGGTGAGCACACCCCTCCCCCTTGCCCTACTGGCACGTGAGCACACCCCTCTCCCATGCCTCAATGGCAGGTGAGCACACCCCTCCCCCATGCCCCAGTGGCAGGTGAGCACACCCCTCCTCCATGCCCTAGTGGCACGTGAGCACACCCCTCCCCCATGCCCTAGTGCCACGTGAACACACCCCTCTCCCATGCCCCAGTGGCAGGTGAGCACACCCCTCCCCTATGCCCTAGTGGCACGTGAGCACATCCCTCCCCCATGCCCTAGTGGCACGTGAGCACACCCCTCCCCCATGCCCTAGTGCCACGTGAACACACTCCTCTCCCATGCCTCAATGGCAGGTGAGCACACCCCTCTCCCTTGCATCAATGGCAGGTGAGCACAGCCCTCCCCTATGCCCTAGGGGCAGGTGAGCACACCCCTCCCCCTGACCTCAAGGGAGGATATTATACAGATGCCTTCGTTATTTTGCTTCGCTCAAAAATTTTGCATACCAGCTGGTTATCTTTCAAGCATTCGTCTTTTATACAGTATTTACAAACCGTACCTAAATATTTATAGTAATATTAACTATAAACTCAGTATTTTTGTAGTATTTACAGAAGGAATTTTGCCACTGTTCCATGACGATGGCGAATTAAAAGTTTTGCCTTCCTCTTCCAAAAATCTATAAAAGTATCACCACTTTAAATAATTCGGTCAATATTTCTTTTGTTTTCTACAAAATCTTCAACATACGTCTCAGCAGAAGCTTTTCCATTCTCCATTTCTCTTCAAACCGGAAACATCAGCTCCTTCATTTGCTAATAATGTGGAAGATTTTGTGCGGAATCAATGTCCCGTGTGTGATTCAGGATTACGTACATTCAGAAATTTTGCGATTTTCACATAACGCCAACCAACGGCAATTTCAATCGTACCAATAATCTTTGTCAAAATATGCAAATCATCAGGGGACCTCCCTCATAAAACCATTGGCTTCATCTCTTGTAAGAGTTTTCAATTGTGACGTCTGATATTCAATCCACTTTTTCTTAAGTAACGGTAACAATTTATAAAACGTCGATAAGTTTATTTTAAAATGAACCAACAATGGATTTAATCATGGAATATTTTGGCCATTCAGAAGCTGAGTTCTCTTTCTGGGACTGTAACCAAATTGCTATTACATATTCGCAAAATACATTACAATGTTCTGCCTCTGTAGTAGGAACCACTTATCATGGCTGATATAAGCCAGCATTGCATTCTCTTTAACTATGGTAATACTATAAGTATTTTTCCAGGAACAAAATTGTTTCTTTTAATAACTTACTTCCGATTTTAGAGGTATTGATTGTTCAATTGCTTTATTGGATTTATCTATTATCGCTTTTTGAAGCATATTTTTATCTGTCAATTCCATACTAAAATGTTCAGAGCACAACCTTTTTTCGTTATATGTTTCATTGATTATAGGAGGATGTGGCACAGTTGATAATTCTTTATTGGTACTCGTACATTGTGAAATATTGCAATATGAAATTAAAGTGAAAGGAACGAAATGTGACATGGCACGAAAAAAGTATTACGAAACACGGGCGAAATGTACATTAGATTACTCGTTCGAAATGCACATTACTCGGCTCTTAACGTATCCTCGGCTGGAAACATCTCACTCATACTGTAACATATTCCACCCTTACAACGCAAGTTACTCTTAAGATACAAGGGTGGGATACATTACGAGTGTGATGTCTTTAGCCGAGACGACGTTAGTACCCAAGGCTGGAATTTCAAACAAGGAATGTAACCGTTCCCATCCGCGTGTTGTAACACAATGTCATACTATATTCTATCAGTGTGTGTTCTGGAATAAGGTAAAGTATTTCATTAGCGGTATCTCTGCATTTTTAGGGAACATTTAGAAAGTTGTATATGATAGAAGACTTTGGATGTCATTGTTTAGTTGAAAACAATATCAAAGCAATGTATAAATTAATATTCCGAGGAGGCCTTGACGAGTAGACAAGACTCCTACAGACTGCTTAGTATAATTATTAATATTTATAGCAATTGTAAGCTTTTGCCGGTAGTTAAAAAAGTAATATTGTTTGCCTTTTTTTATCTACCAGAAAATCCATCAACAAAGTAAACTATTTATACATAACACATACGGAGATAAAAACACGGAGCCCCTACCATCATTATTTGACACGATATCGTCTTCATTCACAATAGTGATTATAATAAAGACATGCAATTAGAATATATTTAATATTTTTCTCTTTATACTCAAGCAAATTATAATGAAATACAAAAATACAGAAATTGATAAGGTTGCGCTTCCGTCTTCACGTTTCCTTCGCTGCATCGCATCTTTAAATAGTTTCCCAAAACATCTACATTTTAACCTTGGGTAGTACCAGTCATGTTGCTGTTTTCGTGCACTTCCCAAGCTGATGAGACGAATTGAAGTCGAAACAGACTCTAGAAAAGATGACATAGGCATAAAGCGAAAGAATGTGTTTGCCTTTTGTCTGAGGCCTCGCGCGATAACGGACTAGGCCCCGCCCAGTGCGGCCCTGTCATAGCCCCGGCCCCACCCATGCGCTGCCC